ATGGTCATGGTCCCTTGAGGACTGCAGCACTCATGAAAGACTTTGCCTGCCTATTACTCATCTCCCTCCTCCCTCACAGCCCCAAAGCAGCAGCTGGGAAAGGGGAAAGAGAGGAGTAACCAGCATGTTTCTCTTTTCACCTTTTCCCCTGTGTACAAAGCAGGCCCAAGCTGAGGAGGGGGCAGCCTTTCAATTGGATGGAGATACAGAGTTTCCATATCAGATGGGACTGATTTGATAAGCTGAAAACATTTTTTTTTTACCCAAAATAAACTGAGGAGCTGTGGGATCTGCCTGAGACCTCACTCAGGGGCTGGAAGGAACCGCCCACAAAGGGGGTGAAAAAGGCAGTTGGGAGAAAGAACAAGTGGCTTCCTGCCTGCACCCTACTGAGTTCAGCTGGTTCCCTAAGCTGGGAGCCCCAAGAAGAAAGGGCCCCTGCTGTGTCAGCCCCCCAGGTACCTCGGCTCTGGGCCCTGCCTCCTGCTCCAGGGGCCACAGCCCAAACCTGCCCACTTCTCCTGGATCATCAGCTCCTCTTCCAGCCACGCACTAACGTGAGGCTCTCTCCTCTTTAACAAACCAAATCCTTGCCCCAGCCCTTGCCTCACTCAGCCACTGTTCCCAGGAAAAGTTCTCCACAGAATGGCCACATTTTCTCCACCTCCTTGCCTCTCATTCACTTTTTTTTTTACACATTTAATTTGGGAAATACGTATACAAAAAAGGGTAAAGCAAAATTTTCTTGCTCCTCCGACGAGTAACGAACTTCTCCGAGGCTTCCTTTTCTTACTGTCAGTAAGGACACCGCCTTGCTGTGTTATGAGAACACTAAATAACTCTGCCAACCACTGGAGACACTAAATAGATCCTCAATAAATGTTGGTTCTGGAGGAGATAAGAAACCCCTGTGGGCATCGGCTGGTCTGTGTCCTGGATTTCCTTCGCCTCCCTCCCTGCCCCGACCAGTCCCACCAGCTCATATCCTTCATTCTCTGTGGCCTGAGCCAGAGCTGAGAATTGCAAAATGAAATCGGCAATGCAAAGGGCAGTAATGAGGCTCCAGAAGACCACGCAATCTACCCACCAGCCCCCAGTGCACTCCCTAAGGCACAGTGCATCCCTCAGGTCCCGGGGCTGAGGTGATCTCTGGATCTCTGTCCCTTATTCCACATTGGTCACACTGTCTTCTTATGCCTCGTGTGCTGAGGGCATAAGATGTGCCAACTGTGAAGCCAGGTGCTGTGTGCTTTCAGAGACTTACAACCCAGTTTGCTTCCTGTCCTCCAGGAGGTCATCTGAGGGGACAGCAAAGCAATCAATTTCCAAATCCGGACAGACTTCATTCGGGAACAGCTGTGTGGCCTTGGCCGAGACACTTCCAGGACACCCATTTCTTCATCTACAGAATAGGGAGAGTAAAAATCTCGTTGCGGGGCTGTTTTAAAAATTGCATAGTGCAATCTAGCTCTCAGGATTGACACGACAGGAATTTTTCTGTTTTGTTTCGCCTGTCGAGAAAAAATGGAACAGCCTCCTAAGGAAGGGAACTTCTTTCTAAAGATAAGCAAGCATGTTGGAGATGATAAATAATACATAGGAATGCGCAGTATAATCTGAAAGACAGAAAAGCAGTTTGAGGAATTTTTCAGTTCTGTTGATAAGTACACCCCAGCTTTGCTGGTGAAAGGTTATGTCAATGTCCAGGCTTTGGTGTGGCCACTAGGGGGCGTCGGTTTGTAGAAACATCATGACTGCCAGTGATTCCACTCGCCCGGTGGGAGGCTGAAGAGACAGAACACAGCTGGTTGCCCAGAGCTCAGCTGGGGCAGGTACTGAATTTTCATTTCACTTCTCAACTTAGTTCTTAAACCATGTGACGAATATAATAAAAGAGACTGCCAAATGCTAAGGGAGTGAGAGAAACATGCATGTTGGTCTTCCCCTTGTAAAATACCTCCTGGAGAACAAACAGTATTATGTTGCTGTGCTGTTAGATTCTCGGGGCTTGGAGAGCACATTATTACAGGAGTTAATTAATACAGATTCCACAATAAGAAGTGAGCATGGAACATCGTGCTGTGGGAGTTTTCTTACTTGATTTCTTGAGGGATTTCTTTTGATTCACATTTACCTGGAAATTCATGTAAAACATGAAAACATGGTTTGCATTAATTTCTCTCTTAAATGGTTTCTGTTTTATTTTCCCTTCTGTGGGGCTGGGGACCAACAGCGCCCTGGGAGCTGTCCTTCTCACCCACTTTACTCAGGATTAAAAAGAGGATATTCGCTACCCTCTAGTGGCTGGCTCCGGTCTCTCTGCCAGGTAGAGACCGCGGAGGAGCCAGGCCAACAGCAGCGCAGAGCTGGTGTCCACGGGAGGAGAGCCTGAGGAGGTCTCCAGGCGGGGCAGGAGAGGCAGAGAGGAAAATTACTCCCGCAGGGAGGCCAGCCTCTTCTGCTCCCCTCCCCACTCTTGGGCAGGGAAACAGGCCCAGGTACCGGCAGCTGCAGCAGCTCCCCCTCCCTCTGGGCAGTGCCCAGGAGGCCCTGGCCCCTGGAGAGGCCACGAGGGCTGGCACAGGGAGGGGGAGCCAGTGTGGAGGCCACTCCTGCCTCGTGGCTCTGCACTGCGAGTGGAAGGAAGGGGGGCGCTGTGGCCTCAGGGCACCCCCTCACCTTGCTGCGCCCCCGTGGGCATGCTATGAGAGGTGAAAATCCTCTGTGGTCCCACATCCCAAGTTCACTATGTCACTGGCTGGGTGGCTGGCAAGCCCTCCATTTAGGAGTCTGCATCTGTGCCGGTCGTGGTGGGAGTAGGAAGGATTAGGGAGCCTCCAAGCAGAGGGAGTGGTTTCCTGTTGTGAGCTTCCCTGGGGACCCTGAATCCTGCACAGACCGCCTCCACCCGGCCCCCTCCTCAGGGGAGGGGCCACAGTTATCTGTGACTGTTCAGTATATTGGGATGCAGAGCAGGGCAATGCTGTCCCCCAGCTCTTTCACACTTTCCTGACTCTTTGAGGTTGTAATGAATCTAAACTTTAATAGCCGCATGTGGCTATTGGCTACAGTATCAAACAACGCAGTTCTAGAGAGACCGCGTGAGAGGGAGAACTTTGTAACCCGGGCGCTGTGCATGAAAAGGGCCATCTCAGGAGTGGATTCAGAATGAACTGTGCAAGGTTTGAAGTGAAGGTAGGAATGGGATGGGATCTGGTCAGATGCACACATCCATTCATCCATCCACCCAACGACCCTGTTCCACCCACCTGCTAACAGTGTTCAAATATGTGTAGTGCATCCTACGGTTGGCTCCCCCACTAGACAGGGACTGGAAGCTGAGACTCTGTCCTATTCACCCTGTTCATTTTGGTATCCTCGGTACCAAATATAGTACCCACCATGTAGGAGAATCTCAAAAGTTATTTGTATTGAAGGAGTGGAGCTGTGCTGGGCCTTCGGGGAGATGCCAGGATCAAGCAGACATGGACCCTGCCTCCACCAACCTATGGTCCAGTAATAAACGCTCATGTGAAAGCACTGGCACTGTGCCTGACACAAGTAGGCCCACATAAATATTAGTTTCTTTCCTCCCTTCTTCTCTTTTATTCTCTCTAGGACCTGCCCTCCAAAGATTTCCATGAAGAAGATGAAGTGCTTGAGGGTTTAGAAGAGGCAAAAATTAATTGTGTCTGGGAGAGCCAGTGAAGGCTTCCTGGAGGAGGTAGCATTTGATCTGGCTCCTCCAGAGCTCTAAGCAGTACAAACAGAGACATGGAGTCATGCTGGAAAACGGGAATGTGTGCGGAGGGAAGCAGACAAGTTCAGTTTTATTCGTGGAAAGGTGCATGAAGGGAAGAGGTAGAAGAGAGGGTAGGGAAGCCCTGTGGTTACTAGGTTAGGGCAGGCTCCAAAGCCAGGTGTTAAGAACCTGGGTTTCATTACCAGAGAGACCAGACAGCCCTGGGCCTGACCCAGAGGGGCCCCTCCATCCCTCCCTTCCTCCCCTTTCCCACAGCCCTAGTCTTGATGGTTCTTGGAGAACTGAGAAGCTCACCTGGCAAGCAGGCCTCTGGTATCTAACTACTCTGTGATGACTGAGGGCTGCCAACTCTGCTGAGCCTCACTTCTTTCATCCGTAAAATGGGGGTGATTCTACTTACTCTTTAAAAACACAAGTGAGAGCACACTGTAAATATACGCTGTTCTAATCTTTTTCCACTTTGGAAAATTTTCCATCTCAGCACATACAGGGTTGACCCTATATTCACTTATATGCCATTATCTTAATTACATTAACCACTCTTCTCTTTGTGGCTATTCAGGTTAAATCCATAAATTGGCATTGCTAAATCAAAGGTTACATGAAATCTAAATATTGACAGAATTACCAAATTGCTCTCCATAAACAGTGCATCAGTTTCCACTCTCATCAGCAATACGTATAAAAGTCTGTTTCCCTATGTCTTCAAAATACAGTGTTACCAAACTTTTTGGGTTTTTGCCAATATGAAAGCTTTTAAATTGTTATCTATTTGTAGTTTTAATTTACATTTATTTTATTATGAGTAAGGTTGGGCATCTTTTCAATGCTTAAAAGCCATTTGTATTTTCTTCTCTGGGAACTGTCTATTTTTTAGCCTGGGGTCACTTCAATTTGGTTGTTAGTCTTTTTCTTATTGATTTATAAGAGTTCTTTATTTATTAAGGAAATTAGCTCTTTGGGATATAGTTGCAAATGTCGTTCATGGTTTGTCATTTCTCTTTCACTATGTCTATTTTTTTTCCCATGCAGATATTTTTTCTTTTTCTTTTTTTTTTGAGGAAGATCAGCCCTGAGCTAACATCTGCTGCCAATCCTCCTCTTTTTGCTGATGAAGACTGGCCCTGAGCTAACATCCATGCCCATCTTCCTCTACTTTGTATGTGGGACGCCTACCACAGCATGGCTTGCCAAGCAGTGCCATGGCTGTACCTGGACCCAAACTGGTGAACCCTGGGCCACGAAGCAGAACGTGTGAACTTTGCTGTGCCACCGGCCAGCCCGATATTTTTTCTTTATGTAATCAGATTGCCCATTCTTTTCCTTCATAGTTTCTGAGTTTTGAATCATGTTCATAAAGGCCTTTCCTACTCCAAGATAATAAAAGAAATCTTTGATCTATTTAGGGGTGAGGAAAGAGGCAGGGAATTCTGCTTTTCTTTTTTCCAGATGGCAGTCACCCCAACACCATTTCCCAGGATTCTTTTAAGCAGAAAGAGCCATTCAAGAACCACTCAAGGGCTCTGCTTAGAGGAAGAACATGTATTGATCTAAATGCTTGATGTGTTCTGAATGTCGTTTTATTTGATCCTCACAAGAACAATGTGAGGCATTGATATCCTTGTTTCTCAAATGAGAACCTTCAGAGAGACTGAGTAAATTGCCCAGAGTCACACAGCCAGGAAGTGGCAGAGCTGGGATTTGAATACAGGTCTGTCTGACTACAACGTCTGTGCTCATTCCACTTGCTAGAATTACGATTCAGAAAGGGAAACATCTATACAGGCTTTTACTGAAGTATTGAAGGACAGCTTCTCAGTCTTATCCTCTCCATTCCTTCCCTCCAAAGGCCTCCTACACTGTGTGGCCAGAGCTTCCCATGGCCGGCAGACGGAGGTGCCTGTCCCAGCAAAGCTGCCCACTCGTCAGGAGCACCGGTGAGGAACTGTTACACAAGCAAGGAATAAACTTCTGTTGTGTTCACTGAACTTTTGTGGTTGGTTTGTAACAGCAGCTGGCATGAACCTAAGTATTACAATTGTTCAGTGGGGATGGATTCCCGAGAGACCGCATGAAGGGAGTTCATCTCTGAGAGCATTTCCTTCGGTCTGTCCACCGGTCCTGGAGGCAGTGGGTCCTTCTCACCCATGCGCCCCTCCGTCCCTCCCTCCTCTTCCCCTCTGCCTCCCCTTTCCCACAGCCCTAGTCTTAACCATCCTTGGAGAGCTGAGAAGCTCACTTGGCGAGCAGGCATGTGAATATATTCCATCGCACATTCAGGTCAGAGGTTGTTAACAATCTTTGTTTCCACTTTGGAGTGGGCTAGAGGAGCAGAGAGAGGGCAGAGGGGGGAGGGAAATTCACAGGCAACACACAGCAGCGCTCTGAGGGAAACCCGTCTGCCTGCTGCGCTCTCCTTGCCTGGGCTGCTGCGGGTGCTACGTGACTAATTTCCCACCAGCCGCTCCAAGCAGGACACGGGCCCAGCGGGGAGTCTGCCTGGCCTGGTCATGACATCAGCTTTCGTTCCTGTTCTTTCTGCATCTTATCAGTCGGGGAAAGGGCCCGGGCTTTAGGCATGTGTCCAAAGATATGAGCCAGCCTGAAAGCAGCTCTCTTTGGCCCAATTCATGTAAGTTATGCTCTGAGAGGTCAAAGAGAAAGGTTAGGCTGTCTGTAAATGATGGTGGTGGTGGTGGTGATGGGAGAAGGGTAATGGGAGCGATAGCAGCAAGGCGAAGGTTCCAGAGGCGTTAGGGGGCAGTCTCAGTAGGAATTTAAAAATGCCTCCATGGGAAAAGTAAAGACCTACGGTTGAAATCAGTCAGACTGTTTCCTTTCTGTTAATAACAGTGTCTCCTGTCCTTCCAGATGTTAAGGGGCGTCAGAGTGGGTGACATGAGCTACTTGGTGCTAACTACTCCCTGGCCTTCTTCTTGAGCAACCACTTGAATGTCTTTTGGCCTCGAATTCCTTAAATTTTAAAACTGATTCCTCTCACTCCCTAAGCACTGCCAGTATGCTGCAAGGATAGAAGTCCATTTGTGCCTTCCCGGTTCTGCTACCTTATTTTTTCTCTACAACTCAGCTGGGGTGTCATCTTTTCCAGGAGAACATCTCAGATTCCCCTCACTCTCCAAGCCAGGACTGGTTGAATCTCCCATCTCTGTGCTTTCAACTCTCTGAACATACTTTTAACATAGCCTCACCCTCCCTTCCCCTCTGGCCCTCTCAGCAGATGGTAAACGCCTTGAGACAGGGATGGTTCTCTACCCGACTCTGCATGTCCAGCTCATCCCAGTGCCTCCCAGAAAGCAAATGTGTCCAGCTGAACTCAACCTTCTTAGCCAAAGTGGAATATTTTTCTACAGGTGGTGTTAGAAAAGTAAGCATCAAATTATATGAAATTGGATCTTTGGACTTTGACACTGTATGGACCTGACCCTTCAGAAGAGGAAACTGAGGCCCTGAAGGTGAAATGGCTTGTCCAGAGCAGAGCCAGGTGTCAGCAGCCGGACCGAGACATGAGCACCTTTACTGGTGGAGCAAAGCTCGTCAGTGATGGCAGAAACCTTCCCTGGGCTGAGGTTTGTCCCATAAAATGGCCCCAAACATGCTCATCAGCCGGGGTGGTCTTTGGCCCCCAAAATGTAAAAACTCTCTGGCCTCTGAATTTTCTGTCTTTTTTCATTTCTACTACATATTCTTCTTTCTTAAAATTTACCTTTTATTAATTTTGATTATAAAAGTATAAAAATCTTATTATAGAGATTCTGGAATATGCTGAAAAGTAAAAGAAAGAGAAAATTGAAAACTATTTGAATTTCATCAGCCAGAGACAGCCTGTATTATTATGGTTTATCGCCAACAAATGAATGCATGTGACTGAGATCAACCTGTATGTTGAATTTTATGTTTTTTCCTTTTTGGATTATTGTTGGATTGTGAGCATTTCTCTAAGTTCTTAAAAATGGGGTGTTTTCTCTGCAGCCTTTGTGCCATGAAGCTTTTCAATCAACACACTTTGTTCTGCATTAATTTATAAATAAAAAGGAGCTTGGGGCCGGCCCGGTGGCGCAGCGGTTAAGTTTGTACATTCCGATTCTCGGCGGCACAGGGTTCGGTGGTTTGGATCCCGGGTGTGGACATGGCACCAAGTGGCAAAAGCCATACTATGGTAGGCGTCCCACGTATAAAGTGGAGGAAGATGGGCATGGATGTTAGCTCAGGGCCAGTCTTCCTCAGGAAAAAGAGGAGGATTGGCAGTAGTTAGCTCAGAGCTAATCTTCCTCAAATAAATAAATAAATTAATTAATTAATTAAAAGGAGCTAATAATGAAAATAAAAAGGAAAAATGCTACATAATCTATTATTTGTAATAGCTACGATTTAGTCTATATGGATATACCATATTTTATCTAACATCAAGGCGGTTTGCAATTTTTCATTGTAATAAATGAAAAATGTGCTTATTTCATCATCTCACTGTGATAAAACAATATCTTTGTATGACATCTCTGCCGGTATTTCTGATTACTGCTTTGGGAGTCACGTATTGTTTACGTCCTCAACTTTGAGGAAAAGATTTTTAAAAGACGAAATATTTCAAAATTTAGGATCAGCTCGAGAGATCTGTTTTTCAAGTTGTCTTAAAAGCATTGATTACATTTCAATCAGAAAAAGGAAAAGTTGTTTTTTAACAAACAGCACAAAATACAATATCGTGAAATGGTGTTAGGTCTAGCCTGCAACCGAAGAGACCTGGCTCTTAATATCTGAAGGAGAAGTTGATTCCCCTTTGTACCCAGAGCTGTAAACTAGATGTTAACTGCCATCATGTAATGCTATAGAAGAGGTGTTGCTTTTTGAACTGTTTTTTCCGTTTGTATAAAAGTTAAATAGTTTGAGTTCAAAGACAAAGAAACAAGAAAGAATATTCTGGTTCTTAGAACATGGAAGCCAGCTCCTGGATTTAAGTTCATAGCCATAGAAAATGCCACGGCAAAATAAAGCTATTTCCCTAATAATCTGCTCACAGCAGAGATTTCCATCTGAAGCCTCAAAATATGAATTTTAAATATCTGTAGCATCGTAAAGTATATTTTAAACAAGGTAAAAGCTAAAACAGAATTCAAGTTTGACATTAAAAATGAAAGTGAGTAATCAAATTGCCCCCTCAGTGTTCTGTTTTTAGGTTGTGAATGTATTTGTGTTGTGGAAGTTATACAGATAGTAGATTATGGTGATTATACTTTTGTTTCACAAACTTACAAACATATTTCTATTATATTAATATGGTCCAACTATCAAATCTTTGCTTATGATGGAATGAACACTAAGAATAGTTTTAAAAAGGAAACATTATACCTCAAAACAGCTTTCAGTATGGCATGTATTTTCCAATTTGCCTTGCATCATTTTTCTTTTTTAATCACTGGAGAAAACTGCTTAAAAACAGGATTAATGATGGGCAAACAAGATTGCTATGGAAAAGAGTTTGAGGCTACAAGCAATTTTGAGCTCACATGGGGACTAAACCGCTGAGGATGTCTTCCAAACAAAGACTCAGGTTTCAGGGAGCGTTCCCCAGGAGGGCAATCGGCAAGATCATAACGAGGGGAGCCCTCCGTGCAAATCTCTCGCAGATTTCCAGCAATTGCTCCCATTTATTGACTCATCACTGTGTACCAGGGGCTGTGCTGGGCGCTTTGCAAACATTATGTCATTTAACCCCCTCCCATGCCTGCAAGGCCCTATGAAATAACTGCCCCATTTTACAGACAGAGAAGCCGACGTCCAGAGAGGTCTGCTGTCTCACCCAGAAGTCACGTGGCTGGAGAGTGGCTGGGATTCAGTCCGGGGCTGTGTGCTGACAAAGCCCCAGCTTTTAACTTCCCACCCCTAATGCTGCCCCATTAGGCAAGTTTTAACACTGAGAGAAAAGAGAAAATAGAGCAGAAATAATAAAATAAAATAAATAAATTAAATTAAATAAATAAAAATAGAGTCCCTCCAAATTGAATTCTAGACTGAAATGCAGGAAAGTGCAGTGCTTTGTCAAAAGAAGAGTCTGGGTTCTCAGTGGACTCTGTGGATATGCGGCTTCAGGAGATGAGAACCGTGAATGCAGCAGAGTGGGATGCTTAGTCGGCAGACTCAGGCCCCTCTCTCCCTTCCCCTCACCTCCCCCTGGAGAGGAGGCACTGCCCTGACTGCTCCCCAGTCCTGCTGCCACTTTGTTCCAGGTCCAGCCTCGCCTCAGAATCTAGACGGGCTTGCCTGCCTGGGTCCTAGAGCCACACACCAACCTGCAGCCCTGTGCCGGGGGCTCTCCGCTGGCCGAGGTCAGGATGGCACCCACCCTGAGAGGAGAGGGGGAGGAAGCCCCGTTTCCCCCCAAATGTCCCCTGAGTTCTCTGATCTGACTTCACTAATAATGAAACTCATGCTTCACTTTGCCACTGTGGGTCCTCCTGTCTATTTGAAAAACCCAGAAGTGGGAGAGGAGGAGGGGGAGAAAGGGGGCAGTAGGGAATTAGGCCCTGGCCCCCCACCCCCACAATCTTTCCCCACTCCCCCCACACTCCCAAGTAAACCCTCCCCTCCACCACATGATCTGAGATCAAATGCCTTTACCCTCAAGGCCTGAAGCTGGGCTGGCCTCTTCATCCTCTTTGGGCCCTAAAATCCTATGAAATTGATTCAAAGAAAAAAATAGACTAGAAAAAGAAATAAGGACAGGTCACTTAGAAAAAAGAAAGATGCTTTCGGCTTTGGGCTATTTAAAACCTAACCTAAAATATTTATATTTAGAACCTAGAATATTAAAAACCAACATTCTTTGAAAATATCATTTTTAGAACAAAATTCAGCCCAAGTGAATTGCTATTGGTCTCCTGAGATTGTCACAGAGAAATCTTTGATAACCTGGCCTTATAGTTTGTCTTTACCTCCCAATTCTACTTCGGTAACCCAAAACATACCCACTCTCGGATCCTCTGCAGCATGGAACTGACCATTGCTAAGGCCTCCAATCCTGTGTCCCCTTCTGATCACAAGCTCCTCTCCTCCTCCCCGTCTATCCTTCCACCACATTCGACCATGAGTCCTTCACTCCTGCCTTTCCAGCCCTCCAGAGAACATGGGTCTCTTGCCTACCTGGGATCCGTTTCCCCTTTGTCCTCACCTGCTGTTCCTCCCACACATGGCCACTGTGGTCTAAGGGGATGACAATGGGAGACGTGTGACTCAGGCCTGCCCAATATCTGTTCAATAAATAGTCGGATGGTGCTTACTTTGAGCCAGGCACTGTTCTAAGTATTTCATAAATGTTAATTTATTTAGGCCTTAATAATTAATTAAGCTTTAATTAACAACCCTATCAGGTAAGTACTACTATTATTCTCATTTTATAAATGAGAAAACTGAGACACAGAGAGGTTAAGTGACTTGCCCAAGGCACACAACCAATCAGCTTTGCTTTCTTCTGACTAGTACGATTGGTTCAGGGGTGGACATGCAACCAAATAAGAACCAACAAGATGCAATTGTCAGGACTTCTCAGAAAGAGACTTTTGTTCTTCTCCCCTGCACTTGCAGTCAGGTGGATGTGAGGTGCAGTGCAGCCAGCTGGTGACCACAGGGAGAAAGCTTCTTTGAGAGGGGAGTCATCATAGAACTGAGGGAAAGAAAGAGAGAAATTGAGTTCCCATGACAAAATAGGAGCCTCTGACAAGCAGTGCCTGAAGCCGGATCTATTCCTGGCCTTTTCAGTTTGGTGAGCTAGTGAATTATCTTTCTGCTTAAAAAAGTTTGGAGTGGGTTATCTTTCACTTTGCAACCAAAAGATTCCTAACTGGTACGGTTCAGTTCATCAACCTCATCATTCAGTCTAAATATATCTTTTACTATTATCAAGTCAATTGACGAGAAAAGTGAGCATACTTTAATGACTATGAACACTTAAATACTTCAAAGTTTCATTTTGGTAGCATATTATACCAGAAAAATCATGATTCATACAGATAAGCACCACTGTGCACACTCGTATAACTTTATGAGCACAAGCATGCACGCCCTGTTTTTTTAATCAAAAGGCCAACGCTTCTGTAAATGTCCAAGTCAGTCTCACATTTACAAAAAGTCTGCACAGAAATGGCACCAATGGTATTCCTACCTCCATCCTGGTGTAAGGTCCCGTGCCTAATTTAGGGCCCTATCAATCTGTTGAAATACTGGCGAAATCAGAGTCTCTCGATGATCCTTGTTTTTGTGGACTTTCTGCACATTTAATGCTGTTTGCCCTCTTGTTTCTTTATTCTCTTCCTTGGATTCTATGGGAGTTCACTTCTTTTGTTTTTGTCTCCACTTTTCCCACTTGTATCCCCTAAGTGTTGGCCTTGTCCCAGGTTTGATTCTCACCAGAAGTATTAGTATAGTGGTACTTAGGATCCAGGCTTAGCTGCTGTAACAAAAGACACCCTCCCCTCAAATTCACCAACAGCAGCAGCTCAGACAAGCTCCTTCACTGGCTAGCTTGGAGCTACAAAGGCAGCCCAGGGGAGGCAGGCGTCTGCGGTCCACCCGTCAGCCAGGAGCCCGGGCTCTTTCTGTCCTGCTCTTCCACCATTCCTAGGAGGGGTCTCCTCATTTTCATGTTCGAAGCTGGTTCACCAGCACATCAGTGTCCCAGCCTGTTGAAGAGGGGAAAGAAATGGGAGAAAGGAAGCAGCTTCCTTTTTAAAGGACCTGACATAGGAGTTGCATCACTTCCACTCATGTCCCCTTGGGCAGAACTTCGTCGTATGTCCACACCAAGGTGCAAGGGAAGCTGGGAAACATCATTTCAAGCTGGGCATCCGTGTGCCCAGCTCAAACTGGGAAGACTGGATCCTGGCAACAACCAGCAGCCTCTGCCCAGCTTCCCTGTCTTCTTCCTCTGTCTTCTCTCCCTGGGCACCTCACCTTCTCTCCTGGCAACAGCTCTGTCCTCGACACGGTGACTGGACTTCCGCACCCGCAGACCAACCTGCACTCTCTTCCCCCAGCTTCCCTCTGCCTTCCCTGTGCTCCAGAGGAACCATCCACACTCCTGGTCATTCAGGCCCCAAATTTTGTATCCTCTTCAACTCCTATTCTGTGCCCTGTGGCTCCCCATTCCCCCACCTCTACTGAGTAACCCCCAGTGAGGGCTCCTGTCCCTTACTCTGTTTCCTCCTTCCCCCAGTGGGAGCTGCTGTGCCAGCCCCTTGCCTGTCTCTGCGCATCCAGGCTCTCTCCTGCGGCCCAGCCTTCCCCATGGCTAGCCAAGAAACATTTTAAAAGCATAACTCAGATCACGTTATTCCCTTCTTTGATCACAAAACCCTTCTTTGACTCTGTTTGCCTATGGCTGGAAGTCAGAACTCCTTGACAGGCAGTTTCAATTTACCCTTCCAGCATTTTCTCCCAGACTCTCAGAGTCATAAACTCTGGGTACAGGAATGTGTCACCATGCACTAGTGTGCCCTGATCCCTCCTATTTTTGGCTCAGGCTGTTCCTTCTGCGGTTCTTCCTGTTCACTCCCCATCTGCCTGGCAAATCCTACCCACCCTCCAAGGTCCAGCTGTCATGCCACCTCCTCCCCTCTCCCAGCCACAAGTCCCAGCACCCACCCTGCCCGCCACCACCCCAGACACCTTAATTCTCTGCTTTCAGCTCTTTGCTTATAAACTCTCTTTTGGTCCTTGCCCCAGTCTGCCTCTATGTGCCCAGATGCCTCCTCCTTGAGGGATGGACCTGAGATTTGTCCCTCGGGTGCCCCCCTGCCCTACACTGCAAGGTCTAGTGGTGTCTGCTCCTTCCTGTTGCAGGAATTAACTCTATGAGCCTTTCTTATTAAAGTGCGAAACTTCCTGAGGGGAAAGGGCACCTCTGTGGAGGGAGCTTGCCGCCGGGTTACTGGAGTCCACAGCGCCGGTGTTTGCATATTGGCCGGCCCCCTGCGCTGGTGGCTCTCCCTGTGTCAGCATGACGAGAATCAGCTGCCGCGCCCTCTCACGCCAGCTCCTGCCAGCACAGCCTCCTGCCTTCCAGAGCTGTTGAGACTGTGGCAGAAATGCTATCTGTAACCCGACTCAGGGTTAAAAATAACCAAGGTCTGACCCACTCAGAGCCTCTTCTGATCTTCCAGGTGGGGTAAGCTTTTCCTGGCAGCACACGTGCATGCTTTAAAACGACCCCGCTCCACCGCAAGCTGCCTGGGGCCTTTCCTCTCTGGGCAGAGAGCCTCTCTTGGCCCAGCTTTGGGGAAGGCGCTGGCTTCCTCTTTCCTGGTGGGGCTGACAGAGGGCAGTGGGTCCCACCCCTTCATCGGCTTCCCAGGCCTTGGGTGGAACTGCGGAGGTCACAGCCAGATGTTTCTGCTAACAGACACCGGCCAGAGACACGGGCCCTGCTAGCTCGACTGGCTGAGCGCCCCTTCACCCCCAGCCCCAGCCAGCTTGCCAGAGCCCCTCAGCCAGCAGCCAGCATGAGGCGAGCTGAGAGCAACTGCTTTGCCTTCCTGTCAGCCAGGAGGGACACTATCATCTCTGTTCCCCCAGCATCTTTCCACCCAAAGTCAAGGCCAGATGGAAAGTTCCAGCTGAAGTTTTTCTTTGGGAGATTGCCATTGGGGGTAGCCACAGTGCGGAGACTGGGCTTCTCTTCCTGGCCGGGGCCAGAGCCTCCTCTTCAGCTCCAGGCAAGCTTCAAGTCTCTGCCATTTGAAGCATGCCTCCAGGCAGCAGATGACACCTGCAGGTCTAAGACAGGAGCAGCCAAGTGCCCCAGGCCGTGGGACTCTGGGGTGGAAGAATGCAGGAGGAAAAAGGAGAAACCTGTTTGAATGTTGGTCACTAAAACCCAAGACTCCCTTGGGTGCCTTGATTCCAGAATTGTCCCCTCTGGTGGAATCCTGAAGAATTCTGTGCTTTCTTTAACACAATCCCACCTTTTCCCACACAGCCCTACTCGCACACACATACACATTACCATCACCACCGTGAAATACCAGCAGGAAGTGGCTCAACTGAGGGTGGGATCAGAACTCATCCAAGGAAAGAAGCTAAAACAAGTGGAGCTTGTATTCTGGGCTCCCTCTCGCCCGGGTTCCTTTAGGTTCTCCTTGACCTGAGGTCCCTTGCAGACCCATCTGGGCCAGCTTTTCTCTCAATCACTCAACAAAGAATTGATCAGAACCTATTAGGTGCCAGGTACTGGTGTCACAAATGTAGGACCAAATCTCAGTCCCTAAAACCAGAGGAACGGGAACTGTAACTTTATTTTTCTAAAGCTTAAAACTATTAAATTGACTTAAATTCTATTTTGAGTCCCCATTTAGTTAGGCAAGTTTGCAGCGATTCATGGAAAAGAGGCTCACTTTTTTTTACCTCTCAGGGCTTTGTGCCCTTTCTCGGGCTCAAGTGGAAGAAGTGTGGCTGCAAAGCTGAAGGACAGGTCTCCAGTCTTCAAGTATCCAGGTTCCGGAGATCTATAAAGGACCCGGAGGTGCAGGCTCAGAGGAAGCTCAGACTCTCAGTGACTGATGAGACAGCTGGCTCCCGGTGCAGGAAAATACAGGGCAGCAACTGAGCATTCTAAAAACCTCCTGAAATCACCTTTTCTTCTCCCTCCCAGGGCTCCTTGGTTTGGGCGCTCCTCACATCTTGATGCACTATAACAACAGGTCATGGTAACAAACAGTGGTTCTTCTGACCCCAGAACGGAGCTGCTCCTCTTCTCCATCTCTGGTCATGTGTCTTGAAGGGAAACTGCCGTTGTCTTGAGATCTTGTTATCTTGGCCACTATTGATTGGACCAGGGATGGATACTTGACCCAAGCTTGGCCAATGAGAGCACTTCCCTGGGACATTTGATCTCGGGACAGAGGTGGTGAGTGTCATTCTCTGGTACGAGTGATAGTGTGAGATCTGAGGCCCAGGACCAGAGAGCAACCATGTGTCATGTAGAGTAAGTCAGCCTGAGAGACTGAAGCCAACACACAGAGAGGATCAGAGTTGGCTGCAGAACCCGAGAGGCCCAGCAGTGATCCAGACCCAGGTTCCAGGTGTTCCTGAAGCCCAGCAATACCTCTGCCCTTCCTGTGGCAAGGGAGCTAGTAATTCTACTTCTTGTTATTTGCGTTTGGGTATTGCTAATTGCAATATAAAGGGCATGATAAATATATCTTGTAATTGTTCTCTCCGCCTCCAGGCTTGCCAACCTCCAATCCTTTCTCCAAATGGCTTCCGTATGGATCCTTCTAAGTTGCTGGTCCAGATACACCATCTTCCTGCCCAGAACTCTTCAATGACTCCCAATCATGGAAGAAAAAGTTTCAAATTCTTTATGGCAATCCTGTAGACTCTGTAGGCATCTGAACCAACATTTCCAACTTCACCTCCTGCCTTTTCCATTTCTTCAGCTTATGAAAGCCTGCTCCCTGGTGCCAGGACCGTGCCACACAGCTCTAGGGATGGCTTAGACCTCTCCTTCTGCCTGAAGTGCCATTTCCCATCGAATGGACTCCAACTTGTTCTTCAGGATCCGTCTCTGATGATGATGATGATGATGATGATGATGACTTTGCCAATATGCAAACCCAAATCAGCTGTTTCCTTAGCTTCAGTTTCAAAGCACTTTATTCATTTACCATTCAACACTTGTTTGTTGAGCAACTTCTACGTGTCAGGTACTGTGCCAAGAGCTGATAAATTCAAATGACACAGTTTTTGCTCTCAGGGAATTTAGAGTCTAGTTGGGGTGGGTGGGAGGCAGGTAGGGAATATAGATATATTAGACAGGGTGCTTTCAGCTCCAAGTAACAGAATAACTCACTCAAAGTGGTTTAAGCAATAAGTCCTATATTATAACACATAAGAAGTTGAGAGGTAGGCAGAACTGAGAGTTGATGAATTCAGTGGCTCAGTGGTGTTGGGTCTGGGGATATAAGGTGGGATAAGGGGTCTACCTTACAGGACATCTGTGGGATTAAATGAGTTCATGCTTTTAAAGCAACAGAAGAATGGCAGGCACATAGTAAGGTTTTAATGCATTAGTTATTTATGAGCTCAAAGATGCGTGAACAACCCATTAACGGATGAATGGATAAACAAATTGTGGTTTATTATACAATGGAATATTACTGAGCTATACAAAGGAATGAAGTACTAATACATGCTACAATGGGGAATAAATCTTGAAAATATCACGCTAAGTCAAAAAAGCCAGACACAGAAAGTCACATATTATATGATTCCATTTATAGGAAATATTCAGAATAGATAAATCCATAGGGACAGATTCGTGGTTGCCAGGGGCTCACAGAAGGGGAGAATGGGGAGTGACTGCTTAATGGGTCCAGGGCTTCCTTTTGGGTGATGAAAATGTTTTGGAACCAGATAGAGTAGGTAGTTATGCAACATCGTGAATGCACTAAATGCAAATGAATTGTTCACTTTAAAAAAATGGTTAGTTTTATATTATGTGAGTCTCACCTCAATAATGGACAAGGTTGTTCTTTGAGATGTGGTCTGAAATAACAAAACATTGGATATAATCTAATATCCATCAAGGTTAAATAAATCAGAATCTATCCATACCATGGTATATCAGTTAGCCGTTAACACAAGTGAGCTAGAGCTATATATAATAATTTGGAAAGAACTCTAATCATATTGTTATGTGCAAAAAACAAGTCATAGAACATTATAGCGTGATTCTATTCATCAATTATAAACTGATATGTGTATGTGTGTTAGCTTATACAAGCATTAAAAGGGGCCTAGAAACCCACTTACCTGTTGAGAATGGTTACTTTAAGGGAGACATGAGAAGTGAAAGGCGGTCGTACTTATTACTTTATATACTGAAGTATTTTTGAAACTTTTATAATGAGAATCTAGCCAGGAGGTACAAATTGAAGCAAAAATGAGATATCACTTTATATGCATCAGATTGGCAAAACTGGGAAAAAGTTGGGGGCTGACCCCGTGGCCTAGTGGTTAAATTCAGTACACTCTGCTTCAGCAGCCCAGGTTTGCAGGTTAGCTCAGGGCTAATCTTCCTCAAGCAAAGGAAAAGGAAGATTAAAAAAAAAAACTGGAAAAAAGTTTAAGACCTATTGCTAATGAGGATACGGGGAAATGGGAAGAGCTATGGCCTCTTTGAAAAGTAGTCTAGTGGCATCTATTAAAATAAAAATACGTATACATTTTGACCTAGTAATCTCATTCTTTTTTCTTTTCTTTTTTGAGGAAGATTAACCTGAGCTAACATCTGCTGCAACTCCTCCTCTTTTTGCTGAGGAAGATTGGCCCTGAGCTAACATTTGTGCCAATCTTCCTCTATTTTATATGTGAGACGTCTGCCACAGCATGGCTTGATAAGCAGCGTGTAAG